TGCTAAGCCAGAGACCTGGTACACTGGTGGCACACTGGCAAACTGAAAATTCATGCTGCGGGAGTGGGGTGGGGTTTTCAGTGTGTACCAAGGGGTCATGTGGATTGACCGTGGCCCTGAGCTCCAGAGGTGATTTGAGCTATTCTGAGCCCAGTGCCTCTGTCCTTCCCCCGTGAAGAATGACTGAGCTGACATCCTCATTTTGAGCCTTGCTAACTGTTGGTTAGTGGAGGCAGATGGGAAGGGGTTAGTGCTGCTGCCAAACTACGTCAGGCCTTGCTGAGCATGGCATGGAAAAAGCAGCTCTGATGGCATCCTGGTTCCTATTTCTCTCAGAATAGGCCTTTAGCATTCTGTCACCGGAATCTTCTGTGAGTGCGGCAAGTTTTCTCTGGAACTCGAAACTCGGAGTCTTCTGAAAGTCTTACCCCCTGGCTACTTTCTTTCCTTGTGTATTTAGTTAACTTTCCAAAGATGACAGGAGAAGCAAGCTGGGCACACTGTTACTTGGCACATTTCAGCCGAGTCTGTAGGTAAGGATTGCCGTGGGGAGTGGTGCTTCTAAGTGGATCCGCTCCTCTTAGCAGGGAGAAGGGTCGCAGGTCTGTGGCCTTGCAGCATTGTACAGTTACACCATGTGCCTTAAATCCATAAAAGCCTAGGACGACGCTTAGGTCATCAGAACAGCTCTGTGATACGTGCAGAGGGACAGTGTCTGATTGATTATGGCCCAAAGGTGTGAGCCCTGGGCATAGGGAGGCGTCCCAGGACCTGCTTTTGGACCCTCTCACATGCCCCCCATCCCTGCCACTGGGAGCCTGTGGCTTAGGCCCTAGTCTGAGGCTGGGTGTATAATTGGTACTGAACACATATATCTTGAGCAACTGAAAATAATTGCACAGACCCATTCTCCTGGGTGCTAGATGGAAGGGGTGGAGGGACACACAGAGCTGAGACCCCTTGCTGAGACAAGCAGCCCCTGATCACCAATTCAGGGCACTTGATAACCCCGTGAATCCTTAAGTGACAGGACTCAGCAAGAGGGGGCAGACTGGGGGACCACAGGACTCCACACGGCCCTCTGCACAGGCTTCCATCTTGGGTAGGTGGCAACACGTCCAGCATCCATTCCCACTCCCAGCCCTGGTCCAGTCCGTTCAGCAGTCCTGGGGAAAAAACCTGCTTCATTCCTCAAAATTCCAGTGAACGTATTAGTATAGAGTTGTACCGGTCAGTCCTGGGTGTAGGCCCCATCACAGTGGTTGGGAGGATGACATTGGCTGATTGGCCAGACCTGGCATGCGTCCACTCCCCACCTGATCCCCAGGGCCCAGTGATGTATAGCACCCGGGGGCCAGTGTCCATCCTGGGATCCCACCTGCTGAGCTGCCTGGAGGTGGGTGGTTCCCAGAAAAGTCAAGGTGTGAGTGCAAGGAGGAGGTGGGGTTGTGCTGGCACGAGTGAAATGGCACCTGTCCCCCGCATGTCAGTTGTCACAGCTGCCTGGCCAGCATTCAGCACTGCCTTGGCCGCCTTCTATTCTGGGTCTTGAAAGTGGCTGGGCTGGCAGTCAGGGTGGAGGTGATGTGAATGAGTTTCGTGTGCTGTCTCTCAGGGCTTCATCATGGGCATAGGAAGAGATGGACGGGTCCATGCCATCAAATCGAGTGACTTCTGTGCTGGGATCTGTCCGGCCATTGAGGTCACATCAGCGAGCACCACGCATGGGCCTGCCTTTCTGGGCCTCCTGTGCAACTGGGGAGACGGTGCACAAATAACATCCCCAGAACCTGAGTGGGCCTCAGCATCCTTGCCTGTAGGTGGGGCCCCAGTGCCCTCAGTTGGGATCAGGCTGAGTCATCAATTGGGGTCAGGGGCAGGTGCTTCTGCTCTTGGCACAGAGGTGCCCCAGGCTGGCGGCTCCCTGGGGGGTGGGAAACTGCCTGGGTGTGTACGTGAGTTGCCAGTGTGTTCGTCAGGCATTCTTGGCGCCGACTGTGGTGGGATATCTGTCAGCTTTGGGAACCTGGGCTGCCGCTCACTGTTGGCTTGGAGAGGTCAGTGCTCTGCCTCCTTCTCAGGACCATTGTGGCTGCTCTGTTTTAATTTGCTTTTTGGCTTTCTCAGTCTTTTGAGTCTTTCGTCGTCCCACCCATAACCCCCTCCAAAGGGAGTCTCTGCCTGGGTGCCCTCAAAGGCACCCCAGTTAACACAGCGCCCCTGAGTTGAGTTGGTACTAGGTGTGTTGGTTCCAGGGCCGCAGTACTAAGGTGAGGTAGCTGGGATCCCAGCAGGGGCTGTCTGTAAGGAGAATCCCAGAGGGGCTTGGCCCACACTTGGAATGTCCAAGCCCAGGCATTCAAGATGCTGTTCAGCCCAAGCTCAGCACTAGCTACCACCCAGCAGGGCAAGAGTGGGGCAGGGGGCAGGTGCAATGAGCTGCCTAGGGACCTAGAGCAGGGAGGCCCTTGGAAACAGAGGTGTGTTGATAACGGAACTGATAGCAGCATCAGGGCCCTTGAATGTTATCTTAGTGGAGAGGATTTGGGCTTAGGAGTCCCAGGGCTTGAACTGGAGTTCTTCCTGGTCCTTAACTCTCATTTCCCCCAGCACAGTCTGCAGACCAGAGGCAACAAATATCTCTTAGAATGTCCTGACACTGGCTGGGTGCAGTGGCTCACGCCTGTAATCCCAGCACTTTGGGAGGCCGAGGTGGATGGATCGCCTGAGGTCAGGAGTTGAAGACCGACCGGTCTGACCAACATGGTAAAACTCCATCTCTACTAAATACAAAAAATTAGCTGGGCTTGGTGGTGCATGCCTGTAATCTCAGCTATTTGGGAGGGTGAGGCAGGAGAATTGTTTGAACGCAGGAGGCGGAGGTTGTGGTGAGCCGAGATTGCACCATTGCACTCCAGCCTGGGCAACAAAAATAAAACTGTCTCAAAAAACACGTCCTGACACTGTAGAGTGGTGAAGGAGGGGACAGAGCCACATTTGGGAAATTGATGACCAAGGGGCTGGTCTGGAGTGAGGAAACTGGAGTGAAGGTTTAGCAGTCACAGCAAGATTTGGTGAAATGTCGCAGGGTCTGGATTCAGGTTGGGCAGTTCTGATCATTCATGGCCGAGCTGTTGGCACAGCCTCCCTCGGACCAGGTCAGCGCAGCCTCTCAGGCTCCATGCCACTGCATCTGAGGGCCCAGCCCTGAGGATGTGCTCAGGAAGTAGTTACCTTGTGTCCCCCATGTGTCAGTTGTCCAGTGAGTTGTGGAGGCCTGAGTAGGATGTGGATCTCACTTTACAAGAAAACAATAGTGACGTACAGGGTGGAGGTGGAGCTGGGACCACAGGGTACAGCCTGAACCTGCTTCCAGTGCTCTCGCCCCAGCCCCCAACCAGAAGGGCTTACTTCATCGCCTCGGAGCCCTGTGGGCTGTGGGCTGCAGGGTTAGACAGCAGTGCCTTAGGCAGGGCCTGGGTCTTCGTTCTGCCTGGAGCTTGGGGGCTCAAGCAGCAAGGCCAGTTTGGCCCCTGTGCCCTGCCTGCCTAAGCCCAAAAGCAGGGACCTTGCCTAACTCTAATCCCTTCAGTTTCTCTGGCTCTTTGCCAGGGGAGGAGTGAGCAAGAGAGAGCCAGGTAGCCGGACACTCGTTTCTAATTGCATTGAAGCATGAAATCGCTTCCTTCCTTTACCAGATTATTACCTAAGTAGGAAATTGACTTGGAGCAGGAGGCTGCAGGGGAGTTATATACTTTTGAATATTAAAAATGAAAAACTTTGTTGTTTAGGGTTTTTGTTTTTTGGCCCCATTACCAGCAGGAAGACAGCAGCACAGGCTTTTAGGGAGTCAAGATGCTGGAATGTAGTTCGCTTTTTGGCCACATTTTCTCTAGGCATATGAGTTTTGCTGGATGTTAATGACAGTGCTTTGGAAATCCCTCGGATCGAGCAGGCAGTGAACCTGTTTATTGGCACAGACCGTCACTCTGAGCACCAGATCCCCAGGCATGGTGGAGAGGAGCAGATGAGAGAGGCAGGGGAGGTGTCGCTCAGACCTAGGATCCTGGAGTCACTTGGGGGACTGGGGAAGCTCTGGCTGCATATTCATCTGCTTTGGCTGAGGCAAATCTGGATCGCTTCAGTTAGAGTTCAGCATGTCCTGCTGTCATCTTGGGTCTCTGCCTTGGTCTCAAGTGTGAGTCACTGGTGGGCCTGCCTTCAGGCCATCACTTGCACAGCTAGGTGAAGACCCCCATGGAGACACCTGGATTCAGAGAACATGTCTCCACTGAGCACTTGGGCCATGATGGCAGCTCGTGGGGATGTTCCCAAAGGCAAGGGGCATGTCTGGCCAGTGCCACCTGGAGCCCAGCCCAGGGCAGAGTCTTCTGGGAGCAGGGAAGCGGGTACGTGAGGCTCTGCTTGGGTGTCCACAGCAAACCCTGCAAGGATCAGTCACCTTGGACAGAGATCAGGCTCCAGAACTGGACAGCCCATGTGCGAATCCCGGCTGTGGCGATTTGGGTAGTTTCCTTGCTTCTCTGAGCTGTGGCTTCTGTAGCTGTACAGTGGGACTCCCAAGAGAAGCTTCTGCAGAAGGCTGTCATGAGAGTGGAATGTGGTCTAAGGCACTGGTTCCTTAGCACTGCCGGATACCTGCCTGAGTCAGGAATACCGCCTGCATGTTCTCTTAACCATGGGAGGCAGCCTCAACTCGAGCTTGCCTCGGGGGTGGCTCATCGGCAGGCCAAAGATGTTTGTCCCAGAGCTGGCCCATACCCGGAGAACAGAACCAGTTTCCACAGGGCAGAGTGGGATCCAGCCACTCTTGCCTGTGTTGTCCTTGGTGATGTGGTTGTGGGAGAGGGGCTTGGTTTAGCAGAGGTGAGCAGAGAGGAGGTGAGAGAGGGGCAAGGGGGCTCGTGCTGAAGAGTGAGCCCTGAGAGGGCAGATGGACAGGAGGGGCTCCTCTGACCTGTGGGCTTGTTCCCCTACAGGCTGGTGCACCATGTCGGTCAGCGTCCACGAGACCCGCAAGTCGCGGAGCAGCACAGGCTCCATGAACGTCACCCTCTTCCACAAGGCCTCCCACCCGGACTGTGTGCTGGCCCACCTCAACACGCTACGCAAGCACTGCATGTTCACCGACGTCACGCTCTGGGCGGGCGACCGTGCCTTCCCCTGTCACCGTGCCGTGCTGGCCGCCTCCAGCCGCTACTTTGAGGCCATGTTCAGCCATGGCCTGCGGGAGAGCCGGGACGACACTGTCAACTTCCAGGACAACCTGCACCCAGAGGTGCTGGAGCTGCTGCTGGACTTTGCCTACTCCTCACGCATCGCCATCAACGAGGAGAACGCCGAGTCGCTGCTGGAGGCGGGCGACATGCTGCAGTTCCATGACGTGCGGGATGCCGCCGCCGAGTTCCTGGAGAAGAACCTCTTCCCCTCCAACTGCCTGGCCATGATGCTGCTCTCGGACGCCCACCAGTGCCGCCGGCTGTACGAGTTCTCATGGCGCATGTGCCTGGTGCACTTCGAGACGGTGCGGCAGAGCGAGGACTTCAACAGCCTGTCCAAGGACACGCTGCTGGACCTCATCTCCAGTGATGAGCTGGAGACCGAGGACGAGCGGGTGGTCTTCGAGGCCATCCTCCAGTGGGTGAAGCACGACCTGGAGCCGCGGAAGGCCCACCTGCCCGAGCTCCTCCGCAGCGTGCGGCTGGCGCTGCTGCCGTCAGACTGCCTGCAGGAGGCCGTCTCCAGCGAGGCCCTCCTCATGGCGGATGAGCGCACCAAGCTCATCCTAGACGAGGCCCTGCGCTGCAAGACCAGGATCCTGCAGAACGACGGCGTGGTCACCAGCCCCTGTGCCCGGCCACGCAAGGCGGGCCACACGCTGCTCATCCTTGGGGGCCAGACCTTCATGTGCGACAAGATCTACCAGGTGGACCACAAGGCCAAAGAGATCATCCCCAAGGCTGACCTGCCCAGCCCCCGGAAGGAGTTCAGCGCCTCGGCGATCGGCTGCAAGGTCTATGTGACAGGGGGTAGGGGCTCCGAGAACGGGGTCTCCAAGGACGTCTGGGTGTACGACACTGTACATGAGGAGTGGTCCAAGGCGGCGCCCATGCTGATTGCCCGCTTTGGCCACGGCTCAGCTGAGCTGGAGAACTGCTTGTATGTGGTAGGGGGACACACGTCCCTGGCAGGTGTCTTCCCGGCCTCACCTTCGGTCTCCCTGAAGCAAGTGGAGAAATACGACCCTGGGGCCAACAAGTGGATGATGGTGGCCCCCTTGAGGGATGGCGTCAGCAATGCTGCAGTGGTGAGTGCCAAGCTGAAGCTCTTTGTTTTTGGAGGAACCAGCATCCACCGGGACATGGTGTCCAAAGTCCAGTGCTATGACCCCTCAGAGAACAGGTGGATGATCAAGGCTGAGTGCCCCCAGCCTTGGCGGTACACAGCCGCCGCTGTCCTGGGCAGCCAGATCTTCATCATGGGGGGTGACACGGAATTCACGGCTGCCTCGGCCTACCGCTTTGACTGTGAGACCAACCAGTGGACACGGATTGGGGACATGACCGCCAAGCGCATGTCCTGCCACGCCCTGGCTTCCGGCAACAAGCTCTATGTGGTCGGGGGCTACTTTGGGACCCAGAGGTGTAAGACCCTGGACTGCTATGACCCCACTTCAGATACATGGAACTGCATTACCACGGTGCCCTACTCACTCATCCCCACAGCCTTTGTCAGCACCTGGAAGCACCTGCCTGCGTGAGGAGCCCTGCCGAGCCCAGCCAGGTGAGCCCCTGGCAGCCCAGAGCCACTCTGGGTCTGGAAGGGTCATGGGGGAACGCAGTACCGCCTGGTCCCACTCTGGGTGAATGAAGGTCACCGTGTCTTCCGGGGAAGTCTGGGTGGGCAGCAGGTGGCTGGTGTGCTCTGGTGTCAACTCCTGGCTCTGCCTTCTATTTGCAGTTAACCTGGAGCAAGTTATTCAACCAGGCTACAAAATGGGGACAAAAACCTTAGTTAGACCGGCAGGGTGGTTCCTAAACATGGCTACACTTCCAAATCACCTAGGGATCTTTTGACAATGCTGTGTGGAACTTAGGTCAACCTGCAAAGTCTGAGGGTGCGATCTCCACACAGCCAGCTCTTAGTTTTGGCACCAGGTGCAACAAAGGGGGCCTCCCAAACCACCGTCTGTCAGTTTTGCCAGAAGGACTCACAGAACTCGCTGAATGCTATTAGGCTCACACTTACAGTTTATTACAGGGAAAAGATACAGATTAAGCTAAGTCAAGGGAAGAGATGTGTGGTGGGGCAGAGTCCAGGAGAATGGTCCCCTCCCCATGGAATCAGGACAGTGTTACTCTCCTGGCACTGATGAGTGATGATATGTATGAAGACTGCCAACCAGGCCCAGGCGCAATGGCTCACACCCGTAATCCCAGCACTTTGGGAGGGCTGAGGTGGGCAGATGGCTTGAGCGTGGTTCAAGACCAGCCTGGGCAATATGGCAAAACCCCGTCCTACTAAAAATACAAGAAAATTAGCCAGGCGTGGTGGTGCACACCTGTAATCCCAGCTACTCGAGGGGCTGAGGTGGGAAGGATCACTTCAACCTGGGAGGCGGAGGCTGCAGTGAGCCAAGATCATGCCACTGTACTCCAGCGTGGGCAACACAGCGAGACTCCATCTCAAAAAAAAAAAAAAAGATTGCCAACCAGCGTGTCTACATGGTGGAGTCCCCCAAATAATGCCAAAGCCTGCATGGTGGGGACAGGCAGCCTTGGTTTGGGTGCTGTCTCTCCTGGGGGCAGCTGTGTGCTCACCAGCGTGCAGGGACTGGGGAGAAGTCCTTCCTCAAAGCCGGCAGGTGTCTGGCTTGAGCAGGTCATCCTCGAGGGCCCTGGAGTAGGACTTCCCGCAGAGCGGGTGTCCGTGGGTTGCTGCTGCACCTTCACTGTGTGGAATTGCTGTGAAAACAGGCGACATGCAAGGGGCTCTGTAGGAGGCGATGGTGAGATGGAGACACTGGGAGCAGCTTGGGCCGGGCTCTGCAGACCCTGCAGTGAAGGGAAGGAACAGGCGGGAGGAAGGTCTCATCTACTGCTGGCGGAATCCCCTGAGAAGCTGAGCTGGGGGCAGGGTCAGTGTGGGGTCCTGCCATGAGAGAGGGTGTCCCAGCCAGCCTGGCAGGGCAATGGGGTAGATGCCAGAGAAGGGCTTTGTGCCTAACACACCCTCTGTGGCCCAGCCTGGGAGAGGCCAGGATGTGTGCCACTTGGCCTTTCTCCCAGCTCTTGCTCTCCTGGGCCCCTCACCCCTGGGATGGGGGCAGGAGATCCCTGGGTACGCTCTGCCTTCAGCACAAGAGGAGACTATGGAAGGCGAGCTTCCCCGCCGGAGGGAGCCTCCCGCAGCGCTGAGTGGTGGCACTGATCCCCATTTGTGGGCTCAGCTTCAGGTCATAGGAACCCTGTCAGGAGCTGGCCTGAGCTAGAAAATTAATTTTCTCAATGAGCCAGGGCTGCTGACACAAATGCTGATAGCTCTCCCCAGGGAAGGCAGTCATTCTTAGCTGGGATTGCTTCTCAATGGAACCTGATGGTTCAGCCTCTAGATCAGACCCAGCAAGCCTTTGAGTCCCTTAAAGAGACACGATGCAGGCTGGGTGCGGTGGCTCAAGCCTGTAATCCCAGCACTTTGGGAGGCCGAGGCGGGCAGATCACGAGGTCAAGAGAGTGAGACCATCCTGGCCAACATGGTGAAAACCCATCTCTACTAAAAATACAAAAATTAGCTGGGCATGGTGGTGTGCGCCTGTAGTCCCAGCTACTCGGGACGCTGAGGCAGGAGAATTACTTGAACCTGGGAGGCGGAGGTTGTGGTGAGCCGAGATCGTGCCACTGCACTCCAGCCTAGCACCTGGCAACAGAGCGAGACTCTGTCTCAAAAAAAAAAAAAAAAAAAAGAGACACGATGCAGCCGAAGATGGCCCAGGCCCAGACATTGAATCGGCAAACACAGTGTTTGGGCTCACAGAGGCCAGCCTGAATAGGAGCAGTGCTTTGCTTTGCTTTTTTTTGAGACACAGGCTCACTCTGTTACCCAGGCTGGAGCGCAGTGGAGTGCTATCTGCAACCTCCACTGCCCTGGTTCTAGCAGTTCTTGTGCCTGAACCTCCTGAGTAGCTGGAATTACAGGCCTGAGCCACTGCACCCAGCCCACTTTTCTCTTTTTACAGCTTTTCTGTGTTCTTTCTTTCTTTTTTTTTTGGAAACAGAGTCTCGCTCTGTCACCCAGGCTAAAGTGCAGTGGCACGAATCTCAGCTCACTGCAACCTCTGTCTCCCAGGTTCAGGCAATTCTCCTGCCTCAGCTTCCCCAGTAAGGGGGACTACAGGCACACCACCATACCCAGCTACTTTTTGTATTTTTAGTAGAGACAGGATTTCACCATGTTGGCTAGGTGGATCTCAAACTCCTGACCTCAGGTAATCCACCTGCCTCAGCCTCTCAAAGTGCTGGGATTACAGACGTGACCCACTGCGCCTGGCCTTCATCTTTTTTTTTTTTTTTTGAGACGGAGTTTCGCTCTTGTTACCCAGGCTGGAGTGCAATGGCGCGATCTTGGCTCACCGCAACCTCCGCCTCCTGGGTTCAGGCAATTCTCCTGCCTCAGCCTCCTGAGTAGCTGGGATTTCAGGCACGCGCCACCATGCCCAGCTAATTTTTTGTATTTTTAGTAGAGACGGGGTTTCAGCATGTTGACCAGGATGGTCTCGATCTCTTGACCTCGTGATCCACCCGCCTCAGCCTCCCAAAGTGCTGGGATTACAGGCTTGAGCCACCGAGCCCGGCCTTTTTTTTTTTTTTTAATCTGCTCTCTTTGGAGAAAAATCAGACCTGCCAAATTTCCTAATTTCCTGAGGACTGAGATTCCAAGAGGATATTGGCATTTCCTCATTAATTCCCTGTTGCTATTCTCTAGGTCATTTAGGAACCTGGGGAATGTCACTTGTGGGAAATGGAGGCTCCTTCCACCCAAGGCCAGCCAGCCCGGGAAGGGTGAGGGGGCCCATGCTGCTGGCCTCAGGCAGCTAAGACCATCTCTTGTCTGAGCCTCCAGACCAGGGTTGCCTCAGAGGCTCCCTCCCACCTGGCCCTGGCTGTCAGCTGGACCTAGTGAATTATCTGCTCCTCCAGGAATTGCTCTGCTCCGGCGCCCTGGAAGGGAAGCATGCATAGTGTCTGCTGTGATTTTTTTGGCTGCTCTACCCTGGACTGGTTACTGGATTCCCCTGAGGCTCAGCTTCCCTATCTGGACAATGGGAGTGGAAATCGTATTACGCATAGCACTTGAATAGAGATTAACGATTGCCACTTTAAGAAGCGGCTTTAAAAGGGGTAGCCATGGAGGTTGGGGGATACTGATTATGATGGTTTTGGGGTGCTGTGGGCTGCAAGGGCCTCTAGATGTCCCTGCTTAACCCCTCCCTCTAGAAAGGCCCATCCCCCCAACTGCTATTCCTCTGTGGGCACATGCCCTGTTCCTTCCCGAGTCCTCCTCAGTGTGTCATGGAATTGCTGTCATCAGCCCCATTTAGGGATGAAGAGGTGGACACACAAGACTGAGCCAGTCCCAGGTCTGACTGGGAAGCTACTTCCAGACCCTGTCATCCCAGAGCCACCTCCCCAAGGCGTTCGTAAGCCGCTCTGGGCTGTGTGTTTCCCAGCTGCCACATGGAGTCTGGGTTGCTCTTAGGCTTCTGCCATTGCCCTGCGTTCCAGCCGCTTCCTCCTCATGGGCCTGGCAGCCATCCAGAGACCCTCTGCGCAGCCCCTCCTCTGCCTGAGGCGGCCCCACTCTCATGGCTTCTGTCTCCTCGGGGTGACCCTGGGTTGTTGCCATGCTCTGCAAAGCCCCTCTTGTCCACCTTCTGCCTGGACAGCTCAGTCTCCCAGTTGTCTTCAAAGGCAGGGAGTGAACTGGGCTCTCCATGGACAGGCCTGCAGCAAAGAAGCCAATGCCCGGGCATGCCTAGCCCTCCCCGCGTCCCCAGAAAAGGGAACCGCATTGGCTGCAAGCAGAGCTCTTGCTGCTGGGCCACTCAGGCAGCCACTGTGGCACTGCCAGGGCTGAGCTGGAGGAGACCCCCGACTCAGGCAGCTGCAAACTGGGGCCTGTGCTGTGGCTCTGAGTGGGAGGGACCGAGCCCTGGAACCAGGCAAGGCTTGCAGGGAGCTGGGTGGAGTGCCCTCGACAAGGACAGAGCCAGGAAGGGTGGAAACAGGTACGCCTGCCTCCTAACTCCCCCCACCCCAGGGTGGGCTCCCCCCCGTGACCACAGCACTTGTCACTGAGCCCAGGTCATCGGCCACCTAGAGCGTTGTCTGGCAGTGCCTGGGCCCGAGATGGCTTCTGTTGCCACCCCATCCCCACCCCTGCCCATTCCCCTCCCTGACCCTGCTGTCCCAGGCAGAAGCGGGGATCAGGCCAAGGGTACTGGTGAGAAGTCCAGTTCTCGCCAGTCCCCATGAACATGGCTGAGTCTCCCGCGTCCATGCCGGGCCCAGCTGTCCCTATGCCTGGAGGGCGCTTTGCAAGATTTTGACATAAGCTTCAGAAGCCACCAGGAGGTCCCTTGGACAGTGGCCTCTCCTCTGTATCCTGGATTGTGGCCCCTGTATGTCCCCAAGCGTTTTCTTTTCCCTGTCCTGGCCTCCTGTTGGTGTGAGCATCTGCATGGCGTCCCATCATACTCCCAAGCTGTTTGTTGGCGGTCCTGCTGTTACAGGGCGCCCACTAGGGCCCCGAGAGGGGAGATAGTTGCCATCAGGTGAACGGTGAGTAAGGCTGGAGCAGGACTGGAGCCTTGAGTGTGCCACGTGCCTGCAGGCACGTCCAGGGAGCTGGCCGCGGGCATCCTGACGTCTGCGCACCTGGCACGGAGCACAGGCTTGGCCAGCAGCTGCCCAGGAGCAGCGGGGACTTGCTGAGCTGGAACCAGGGTGATGGCAGGACCTCCAGGGAAGCCCCTTGCTCCAGTGCTGGGGTGAGAGCCACAGCCTAGGGGGTAGCAGCCAGCGGCCGCGGGAGGCCCCTGGTTACCCAGTAAGGGTGGTCTTGCTGGAAACGTTCTCTCCTTTTCTCTCCCACTGGGTCCTCCCCCCAGGCCCTTTAAGGTGCAGTCCCCCAACCCTTCTCTCCCCACCCACCTCCAGCATGGGGGGTCGCTGAATGTCAGGCAGGTGTCCAGCTGTCGACAGCTCGTCCTCCCTTCACAGGCGTTACTGGGGCCTAGCCACTGTAGCCACGGGGGTGCAGGGTGGGGGCTTCGGTCGCAGCCCTGGGAAAGGCCAAGCGCGTTAATCACTGTGGCTTCACTGCTGCAGAAGGGCAGGGCAGCACTTTCTCCCTGCGTTAAAGGAAGTTGCTACAGGCCAGGCACGGTGGCTCACGCCTGTAATCCCAGCACTTTGGGAGGCCGAGGTGGGCAGATCACCCGAGATCGGGAGTTAGAGACCAACCTGACCAACGTGGAGAAACCCTGTCTCTACTAAAAGTGTAAAAAATTAGTTGGGTATGGTGGCACATAGCTGTAATCCCAGCTACTCGAGAGGCTGAGGCAAGGAAATCGCTTGAACCCAGGAGGCAGAGGTTGTAGTGAGCCAAGATGGCGCCATTGCCCTCCAGCCTAGGCAATAAGAGTGAGACTGTCTCAAAAAAAAAAAAAAAAAAAGAAAAAAAGGAAAAGAAAAATTGCTACAGGTGGGAAATCTTAGAGTGCAGGCCTGAGGGTTTCTACCAGCCTGGAGGATTGGGCCTGGCTAGGCAAGTGCCCAGGATGGGAGTCCATCCGTCCAGTTATCAGCAGTCATTCGTTCCTGTGCCAGGCTGGGGGATAGGGCACCATCCCACCCTCGATGAAACAGGCTGAGTCCAGCGGGGCAAGCCCTACACCAACAACCCACAGGACGCACGCTGGCCAGGGCCTGCGGCACACAGGAAATGCAGGGTGGCCGCTGCCCCCCATCCACTCTGCAAGCTGGAGGATTAGCCCAGTTCATAGATGAGGAGGCCAGGCCCCAGGGAGCACCTCCCAAATATTAAAGGGGCCCAGCCTGGGAGGGAACACAGGAGCCTGGCCTTGAGGCTCCCCAGCTCCTAAGCTGTTGTCTGTATTCCTCTCAACAGCTCAGGGCACCTTGAGGGGTACCCCCAGGTAGGTGGCATGGATGTTTAGTTCCAGGTAGCAGTGAGGCCTCACCGTGAAGGGACCACATGTCGGCATGTGCTGTTGCTGGGACGGGCAGGATCGGGCGGCCAGGCCCCAGAGGACGGGGTTTGCCGTCTTAGAGCATCTCAGCGGCCCCTGTGACCCCAGCTTCTCACTTGTGAGGAGCTTGGAGGCATTTGGGGACCTTCTCAGCCACTCAACCCAGCCTCTGTATCTGGAAACAACTTGACCACCTGGGGAGGGCAGAATTCCTGCAGAGCAGCCTGGAGAGAGCAGAGGGCCCACTTCTGTGAGGGGTGGAGAGGTGCGCCCCTCTTGAAGGGGAAAGTCCCACGGAGCCGCAGTGCCGGCTTCAGTGTTTTAACTGAAGTGTTACTAAGGTTACTTGGATACACACATAATGGAAAACTCTTACGTTTTTGGTCTTACACAACTGTAAAGCTAACACATACAGCCAGTGCTCAACTTAACGACCACAGTCGGGCCCGCGGAACGGTCGTAACAGGATTTGGTCGTAAGTTGAGTAGGCTATATGTACAGTTGAAATGGTGCACGCGGAGATGGTAGTGCTGCCGGAAGCTGGTCTGCACTGTCGTACGCCCAGCTGGGCAACGTTTGCGCTGCCAGACGCAGAGCAGTCGTGGCTAGCGATTGTGGTCGTAAAGTCAAATGGTCGTAAGTTGCATAGGTGGTAAGTCGATCAATACCTGTAAAGGTTAAATACAACCGAAGCCAAAATCCCCGGATAGCGTCAACCATTAATCATGACTTTGCCGAGACTCCTTGCCTCGTGGAGTGGATGAACACGCAGGGTTACTAGAGGGCTCTGTCTGCCTCTGCCCCCCTGTGTGGGAGGGCTCACCTCTTTCTCTTTTGCGGCCTCGGAGAGGCATAATATGAGAGGAAACTTCTTATATTAGAGGAATTGGCTCACTTGATGGAGTCTGAGAAGTCCTATGATAGGTTGCAAGGTGTAGAACCAGGAAAGCCGAGGGCAGAGCTCAGGCCAAGTACTAAGGCCCCAGAGCCTGGGGTGGGGGTAGGGTGGTGAGCAGCAAGTCCCAGAGTCCAAAGGCCAGAGGACGTGGAGCTCTGATGCCTGAGGGCAGGAAAAGAGCAACCTAGCTCCAGAAGAAAGAAGCCTGAGTTCCTATTTCCTTAGCTCTATGTTCCAGCAGGGACCCAGCCCATTGGATGGTGTGGGCCTGCACTGAGGGAGGATCTTCCCCACCCAGGCCACGGCTCTCAGGCTCTCACGCTGGTCCCCTCTGGAAGCAACCACACAGATGCACTGGGGCAGCCCAGCCATTCACAGATACCAGGCCGCCTGCATTTCCCTTCCGGGAGAAGAGGGCCAGGCTCTGCACCTGCAGCAGCACTTAAAATACACAATTTTCCCCCTCCGGGCATCTAGGTATCCCTGAGTCCAATCAAGTAGACACCTAAATCGTCTGTCACACTCAGTAGGGGAAGCAGGCCCCAGGTGCCTGTGCTGCATGTGGCGTTCTCATGCCTGAGCCTCACAGGCAGCTCCTTCATTGTCATTTTGTTCCAGATCAGGACAGAACAATGTGGCCACTGACTGATTTTCTCTTCCTCTCATCCCTCCACAGACTGCGGCCCTCAGTGTCACAACGTGGCCTTGGCTTGTCTGCCACAGCGGGAGCTCAGCCAGCCCTGGGCCAGCACTCCGAGAGGTGGAAGGGGCTCCGCCACCTCTGGGGAGCAGCAGCCTTCAGCTGTTCTGAGCTTGAGGCAAGAGAAGAGAAGCATCTCTTGCATCTGTGCTCCCGGGGGCCTTTTCAGCTTTGCAGTGGTTCGTGGGAAGAGATTCCTCCCAGAGGGGCATAGACTGCCACCAGGACTGACCCTGGCCTCGCAGAGAAGGACACTTGCAAGCCTTGAGATTACCTTTTTGGCAGGTCCTGGACTGGGGCCGGGCAAGGAGGAGCCCTGCATGGGCTTCAGGGCCCGCGGCACTGCCGGCACAGCCCGCTCCTCCCGGCCCACCCTGCTGGGGCTGGATTACCATCTGTAGATGGTGTCCCAGGCATGGGAAACCAGGTCTCAGGTTGAGACCAGAAAGGTGATGAGAAGAGAACCCGGGACAGATTTTATAAGGGGCAGAAATTCTGCAGGGGGCCTCAGTGACGTCCACAAGGCCTTATTAGCAAGGGACACCCAGACCTCCAAGGTCTGCAGAGCCCTCCCACAAAGCTGTAAGTCCCAGCCCACCCACTCAGGGCCTTGACCAGTGTCGTGGCCCGGTGGGGACACATGCTCGTGCCCACTCACCGGAGCTGGGCCTGTGGCAGAGTCAAGGTTCCAAGTACCCTCGGGGACCTCCCCTCAGAGCCCACCCTGAGAGGCAGCAGTGACTCCCATCGCTGCTGCCAGCAGCACTGGGGGCTCCTTCTCAGCAGACCGCGCCAAGACCAGGAGCAGCTGCAAGTTGGAGACAGCAGAGAGACCCTAGGGTGTGCCCTGCAGATGGCACGAGGGCCACATCCGTCTCGTGTGGAGGACAGTGGCGGCCTCATCCTCCTCTTTGGTCTTGGGCCCTGTCTGCTCCCTGAGCTCCAGGATAAGAACGGCCCCGAGAGACCTGCCGAACACTCTTCATTGCTGTCACCTCCTCAGTCACTGGGGTCCCTCACACCTGGGCCGTGGGGAGGTTGGCGCCTGTCAGTGACTATCCTCACGCCTCTTGTCTACTCCAAGCCACCATTTGAGGGGGCGGAGGTGTTGGTGTCCTGGCAGGGGGCTGGGCAGGGTGTCCACACCTGTGGCTTCTCAGGCATCTGCAGTGTGAACACTGCTTGGCTGGCTCAGGATTAGGGCAGCAGTGGGGGCTGTGCCAGAAAGCAGTTACTTAAGCAGCCCCGACTGTCCCCATGCCTTGGTGTGGGTCCTGGAGGCCTCTTGGGGAGTGGGACCTTTGGGCAGGGTTTGCCCACTGATGCACTTCTGCTGTGGGGCGCAGGTTACGTGGGACCCTTGGACCCTATAGACCCAGCAGACCCCACCTGAAGACCCTTGGCTGTGGTCCCAGGGCATGGCTCTGCTGCAGGGAGGGCGCCTGGACTGTATCTTGGTTGAGATAAAGCACACTTCTCACATAGCACAAAGGACGTGCCATGGTGCTTTCCCCAAAGTTGTATTGCTTTTGTTAGTTTTTTAACTTAATAAAAAGAGTTGAGAAGTTTCTTTGCCTGCCTTGTATGCTGGGCTCAGTCTTGGAGACGTGGCTGTTGTCTGACTTGGGTTCTGTCCCACCAGCCAAGGCTCAAAGCCTGCCTGCTGGCATCTGCTCCTCCTGAGCTGGGAAGTGGGGGCCCACTCAGATGAGAGCTCCCCCGCCCCCAGTTCCTGTGCCTCCTGAAATTACTTTAGAAGCCACAAAGTTGATTGATGTGGAGAGTCCTGATCTTCTCTGCCTCTCCTCCTGAGAGCAGTTCTCTTCTGGAAACTGGTAAATACAAGCTGGGAATGTAATTCCACCCATTCGAAAAGGTAGATCCCCCAGTCAATGCTCCTTTATCTGAAAATAACCCACGTGCAATTCACAGGGATGAGATGGCTCCAGGAGGCAGCTTCTTGGTCGCAGCACCATTTGCACCTGTTGGTTGTGCCGTGGGCCCTGGTCTACCTGCCCTCCTTGTGCATTTTCATAGTCACCATGAACCTCGAGAGCTCAAGCGTATGCCCACAGGTAAACATCGTGTTCTGTATTTTGTGGTCTGACCTTCAGGCACCCCTCAGACAGCAGGCAGCCCAAGAGGTCATGCTGTGGCACGGCCTGGGTGCAGGGTGGCTGTGCTGTGAACAGGAACCCGGAGGTGCCCCGGAACGGTGACTCTCAGTGGTGGCTTCTGTGGTGGTCAGTGGCATGCCAGCCCACCAAATCCAAATGGCGCTTTCACAGTGTAAGAAGTGCTTCAGATGCTAACGTATGGGCCTGAGGTCACATTCCTTAGAAAATGGAATGATCTTGCCGGGCGCGGTGGCTCAAGCCTGTAATCCCAGCACTTTGGGAGGCCGAGGCGGGTGGATCACGAGGTCGAGAGATCGAGACCATCCTGGTCAACATGGTGAAACCCCGTCTCTACTAAAAGTGCAAAAAATTAGCTGGGCATGGTGGCACGTGCCTGTAATCCCAGCTACTCAGGAGGCTGAGGCAGGAGAATTGCCTGAACCCAGGAGGCGGAGGTTGCGGTGAGCCGAGAATGCGCCATTGCACTCCAGCCTGGGTAACAAGGGCGAAACTCTGTCTCAAAAAAAAAAAAAAGAAAATGGAATGATCTTGAGTGAGTGGGTGTGTCTCAGCGGTGAGTATGGTGCATGCGCATACTCCACCAGCCCCTCCCGGGCTACCCCTAGGCGCAGCCCGGGAGCGGCATCCTGGGGCTCGCCTGGCACTGTCCGCTGGCAGCAGTGCTGGGGATCACAGGTGAATGCCACCGCTTCCACACAGCGCTGAGCTCGGCCCTCCGGGAACCCGATGCCAGGAGTTGGCTCCAGCTGGAGTCCTGTGAGTATAGCTCAGACAGCAGCAGAGGCGACATTCCTGTCACGCAGTCACAGGGTGAGTGTGAGCCCCGGCCGGACAGTCACAGGACCAGTGTGAGCTGGCCGCGGCCCACGGGGTTCCACATTGCACCCCACCTCCTCTCTCCCTGCCCCACCATCTTCCATGCGAGGCAGCGGTTTCCTGGTCCACCCTGGCGATCCCAGCCCTGGCTACCCCATTTGCGTTCCAGTTGCACACATAGCTTCTGCATTCTCCCACGGACTAGAATTCAGTCACATCCACCCCTGACTGCAAGAGGACTGGGAAGTGTCCTGAGGAGACTCCAGGATTCCAGCGCCAAGTAAAAGGAGCATGGACGTTAAGACGGCAGCCTCTTCCTTTACATGCTAGGTCAGGGGTTGGAACCTGGGCACACCGCCTGCCTCCCGCTTCTCTGAGAGCATGCAGAGCCGCCGTCCGCCGAGAGCCTGGCTCTGTGCTGCCAACATTGGTCAGACCCGCACCGTGTGCTGCCCACTGGCCCGCACTTTGTGTAATTAGCTCCTTTAGCCCTCACAGTGACCCCCGGAGGTAGACATTCTTGTCCTCACCTTGTTGATGAGGAAATGGGCCCAGAGGTCACTGTAACTTGCCTAAGGTCTCACACTAGTAGGAGGAAGAGAAGTGGGCAGCACAGTTGAAATTGACAGAATGTGGACTCTGGAGCTAGGCCCACTTGGGCTTGGGTTCAAGCTCTGTGTATGTACAAGCTTGGTTAAACCACTTGATTTGCTGATAGAGGCTTAACAATGGCAGGGTTAAGAGATGAGGTCAAGTTCTGTAAAGCACTAAACACCATGACCAGTGCCCAGACAGTCCTTTACAGGGGAAGAATGGCCACCTCATTGCAGTAGTGGAAGTGGGATTGAAACCAAGCCGCATGCTCCGTTGTGGGGGCTGGGAGGGGAGTCGCTTCCAGTCATTCCCCAGCAGGCCCGGGTCCATGTTCCTTGGCCTCCCAGGGGTCAGACTGAGTCTGGGATGCGGCTTCGGGGAGGGAGAAGGTGCGCTCCCCGTCAGTGCTGGGGCGAGGTCTCCCTGGAAACCTCGGTCCCAAGATGGCCAGTGCAGCTTTCCTGGATCGTGCCTGATGCAGGAGAGAAAACGGGCCATCTCAGTGGCTTTAGCATCCTGAGAACCTGCCTGCGGGCACTACTGAGTTGCCAAGGCCAAGGAGAGGGTAGCCAACTGCCTCCTCCACCCAGCTGCTCAGCCAGGTTTCCCAGCCTTCAAAGGGCCCTTCTTTGCCCAGGAACGGACAAGAATGAGCCCAAAGTCATCCACCTCAAGGGTGTGTGGCAACCACCCGGGCCGTAAATCACTGGGAAAAGAAGCAACCTCTTCAGACGCAGCTGTCTGTAATGAGCGCGGCTTGGAAAGCGCCTCAGTTCTTCTGCATCATCAATGGGAAGATACTGTGCAGAGTAAGAAACTTGCATACCCCACCTATCAAGTCCGTTCCAGCCCCGGCCCCAATCCCAGCCCCCATGGATTCACCCAGCCTCTCTCCTTCAGGAGGCAGAAATGGTCTCTCATAACTTGGAGAGGTGATTGGCCCCCAGCTGCTCTCCTGCCTTCAGGCCCAGCCCTACTCGTTCTGCAGCTTGTCCTACCCACAGCGACCTGCAGAGGTTCAGGCCCTGCCCCGGGAGCCAGGGTGAGTCGGCTGAATTTCCCACGATGGGCACAGTATTGTCCTGCATTTTCACTTGCCCGGTTGGGCTTTGGGATGTGGCTCTGCCTCATTAAGGGTCAAGGAAAAGCCTAGAAGAGACCACAGTCTTCTTAACTTGGGATTTGGGATCAAATGCAGGGGGTCCATGCACTTGGGTGGGGAAAAAATGACATCTTTCTTTTTTAAAATATATAGATATTTTATTACACTTTAGGTTCTGGGGTACATGTGCAGATCATGCAGGATTGTTGCATAGGTACATACATGGCAAGGTGGTTTGCTGCCTCCATCCCCCTGTCACCTATATCTGGCATTTCTCCCCATACTAGCCTCCCCATCATCTCCATCTTCCACTGTCCCTCCTTTATTCCCCCACAACAGACCCCAGTTTGTGATGCTCCCCTCCTTGTGCCCATGTGTTCTCATTGTTCAACACCTGCCTATGAGTGAGGACATGCAGTATTTGATTTTCTGTTCTTGTGTCAGTTTGCTGAGAATGATGGTTTCCAGATTCACCCATGTCCCTACAAAGGACATGAACTCATCATTTTTCATGACTGCATAGTATTCCATGGTGTATATGTGCCACATTTTCCTTGTCCAGTCTATCGTTGATGGGCATTTAGGTTGATTCCAGGTTTTTGCTACTGTAAACAGTGCTGCAATGAACATACATGTGCATGTGTCTTTATAACAGAATGATTTATAATCCTTTGGGTATATACCCTGTAATGGGATTGCTGGGTCAAATGGAATTTCGATTTCTGGATCCTTGAGGAATCGCCACACTGTCTTCCACAATGGTTGAACTAATTTACACTCCCACCAACAGTGTAAAAGTGTTCCTATTTCTCCACATCCTCTCCAGCATCTGTTGTCTACAGATGTTTTAATGATCGCCATTCTAACTGGTGTGAGATGGTATCTCGATGTGGTTTTGATTTGCATTTCTCTAATAACCAGTGGTGATGAGCATTTTTTCATATGTTTGTTAGCCTCATAAATGCTTCTTTTGAAAAGTGTCTGTTCATATTCTTCACCCACTTTTGAATGGGTTTGTTTTTTCTTGTAAATCTGTTTTAGTTCTTTGTAGATTCTGGATATTAGCCCTTTGTCAGATGGGTAGATTGCAAACATTTTTTCCCATTCTGTTAGTTGTTGGTTCACTCTAATGATTGTTTCTTTTGCTGTGCAGAAGCTCTGGAGTTTAATTAGATCCCATTTGTCTAATTTGGCTTTTGTTGCCAATGCTTTTGGTGTTTTAGTCATGAAGTCCTTGCCTGTGCCTATGTCCTGAATGGTTTTGCCTAGGTTTTCTTCTAGGGTTTTTATGGTATTAGGTCTGATGTTTAAGTCTTTAATCCATCTGGAGTTAATTTTAGTGTAAGGTGTCAGGAAGGGGTCCAGTTTCTGCTTTCTGCACATGGCTAGCCAGTTTCCCCAACACCATTTATTGAACAGGAATCTTTTCCACATTGCTTGTTTTTGTCAGGTTTGTCAAAGATCAGACAGTTGTAGATGTGTGGCGTTGCTTTCGAGGCCTCTGCTCTGTTCCATTGCTCTATGTCTCTGTTTTGGTACCAGTACTGTGCTCTTTTGATTACTGTAGCCTTGTAGGATAGTTTGAAGTCAGATAGTGTGATGCCTCCTGCTTTGTTCTTTTTGCTTAGGATTGTCTTGGCTATGCGGGCTCTCTTTTGGTTCCATATGAAGTTTAAGGTGGTTTTTTTTTCCAGTTCTGTGAAGAGGGTCATAGGTAGCTCGATGGGAATAGCATTGAACCTGTAAATTACTTTGGGCAGTGTGGCCATTTTCATGATAT